TCTTTGAACTGCTGTAAATCCTCCCTTCGCCGAGACTGTAAGAGGACCCCCCCAAAGTCTAATCAGAGACACCCCCATACTGTTTGCTTACCATGGAATTGAAACCTGAATTCTCCTCAGGGCCCCCTTCATACAGCGGCCTGTCTATATGTCAGTGAGACATTAATAGCTATTCTAATCAATTTCTTACCAAAATGACAATTCACTTCAGTGTCCCCCTTGAACTCTAAACTTGAGCCCTTTCAGAAACCACCCCAGGTCAGACGGAAAGAAATGTGTTTTAGTAGCTGGGTGGGTTAGTAGCTCAGCACTTGGGAGGGGAAAGCAAGGAGGCTAGGAATTCAAGGTCATCCTACCTTAGAGTTGGAGACTAGCCTGGGATACTTGGCACCGCGTCTCAAAACGATAACAACAAAACAAAAACGGAAAGACGTGCGTTTCCTAAGGTCAGACAGCTGGAAAAGGCACAGTGCCGTGTCCCGTTCCACTAACCTTCTGTCCATTCCAGACCATGCTGAGACTGGAACGTGAAGGCTCCTGAAGCCTTACCACAATCACCTGACTTCCTCTAGAATTCCGTGTGTGTGCGTGTGCTCGTGCACATGCATGTGTGTGGTTGTGTGTATTGCATGCAACTGAATATATATGCATGTCTATGCACATGTACGTGCATACATGGGGAGGCCAGAGCAAGACATCGGGTGTTTTCCACAATTGCTCTCTATCAGGCTGCTTTGAAACAGTGTCTCTCATGAACTGGACCAGCCATTCCAAGTGGGCACCCTGACCACTGAGCAATCCGGGTTCATCTGTGCATGGGCACCCTGACCACTGAGCAATCAGGGTTCACGTGTGCTTGCCTCCCATAGGATTACGGGCACACTCTGTCATGCCCAACACTTCTGTGGGTGCCGGGGACTCAAACTCAGGCCCACTGTTCTCATAGGTGCAGCGCAAACACTGCTATCCACTGGGCCATTGCCACAGTCCCATCTCTAAAAATTAAAAATTTTAAATATTTATTTTATGATGTGGGCCACGATGCTCTGAAAACAAACCATGGGAGCTGGAGTTTTTGTTGTTGTTGTTCTGTTTTGTTTTTGTTTGTTTGTTTTTGAAGCAAGGTTTCTCTGTGTAGCCCTGGCTGTCCTGGAACATCGTGTAGACCAGGCTGGCCTGAACCCTGAGATCCGCCTGCCTCTGCCTCCCAAGTGTTAGAATTGAAGGCGGTGCCACCGCAGCAGCTGGAGATTCTTTCTTTCCGCCACACGGGCCCCAGGAGTTGAACTCAAGTCAGCAGTAAGGTCTTTATCCAGTCAGCCATCTTGCTGGCCCCTCTTTGGAAATGCTGATGCCAATCTTCATTGCTTGAAAAGTGCCGCATGGGATGGTTTTTTTCTCGGGTCTGAGTCTTGGGGCCATATCTGCCCCCAGGAGATCCCCGGGGCATCTGTGCCATAGAGAACAGATATTAAAAGGGTACCTGGGAGCCATAGATGCAGCCTCTCTCCTGACATTCGGTTTGGTGGCCGTTTCTCCTTAGTTAACTCAGGTGCGTCTCTGTCAAATGCGGCCTCCAGCCCATCTGGAAACCGAGACAAGGATGCTCATGTTTCTTGTTCATGAAAAAATCAGCCTTCTACAGCGTTTGGTTTCTCTTGTCCGATAGCATTTCCTACTTATCTAAGCAGCTTTGGGATCTTCTGATACTTTCTGCCCTTGGTCAAAAATCCATACACTGAATAAAGACCCCGAGTGGGCGAGATGGAGGAAAAGCTGCAAGGATAAGGTTTTAGTTGAAATTGCTTGAGGAATTCTTAGCAAGAAGCCTGCAAATGTCATCACTGACGGCCAACTGGATATTATCATCCGCAGGATCTTTAACAGGATGCGGGGAACGCAAGCTGTGGGAATCTCAGTCCTTAAGGAAGATGCCAGAAGGGTACAGCTGGATCACATGATAGCTGTGTCTTGAACATTTCAAGAGGCTGCCAATTTGTTTTCTAAAGAAAATTTCATTTCAAGAAGTAAAATGTGTTAAGTTGAACCTGGGTAGTGCAAGCTTGTCTTTCCAGCACTCGGGGGGCTGAGACAGAAGAATCATGAATACAAGGCAACTTAGTGAGACCCTGCCTCAAAATCGAAAGGGCTGGGGATGTGTGGCTCAGTGGTAGAGCACCTGCCTAGAATCCCCCAGTGAGGGGCTGGGATGTGGCTCAGTGGTAGAACCCCTGCCTAGAATCCCCCAGTGAGAGGCTGGGGTGTGGCTCAGTGGTAGAGCACTTGCCTAGCTTAGTGAGGCCCTAGGTACTGCACAAAAGTGAGGAGAGGATGAGGATGAGGAGGTGCTTGTTAAGGAATGGAGGGAGTCTGTCGCTTAGGTAACACACTCGTCCACTCAGAAGAAAGAGTTTCAGTCTTTCCGTGCTCACACACTTGACACTGGTCTTTTTCACCGCACCATCTTTTGTTTCTTTTGATGTGTAGTGGTGTCTCATGGTGGTTTATTTTGTATCTCTCTTAATGACTGATAACGCTAAGCATCTTCTCATTTGCTCATTTGTCATCTACAGCATAATCTATTGGGGGCAAAAATACCATGTAGGAAAAAAGAGTGGAGGAAAAATGGAGAGAATGCTCTTGAGTAAAAAAGGACCCAGTGTAGACTCAGAGGAGCTGGATTCAGGGAGGGATAAAAATGGCTGATTCTGTTAGGTGTGGTGGGGCACACCTTTAATCCCAGCACTCTGGAGGCAGAAGCAGGTGGATCTCTGTGAGTTTGAGGCCAGCCTGGTCTACAGAGTGAGTTCTAGGACAGCCATGGCTACACAGAGAAACCCTGTCTCAGAAACAAACACCCACCACCACCACCACCTCCAATATTAGGACAGGACTCTTAAGGCTCTGATGATCCAGTTGTCTTTGGAAACCCCCTCACAGGCACACCCAGAGGGATGCTCCATGGATTTCCTAGGTGCCTCTTAAGCCAATCAATTCAATAACCAACAACCATCAACAGTGTGGAGAGATGGCTGAGGAGTTAAGAGCGCTGGCTGTTCTTGTAGAGGACCTGGGTTCAGCTCCCCAGGTCACCCACATGGTGTCTCACAACAATGCATAAACCAGGCGTAGGTGTGTGTGTTTGTGTGTGTGTGTGATATCCTCTTCTGACTCTGTGGCTACCAGGCACGCCTCCTCTCTCTCTCTCTCTCTCTCTCTCTCTCTCTCTCTCTCTCTCACACACACACACACACACACACACACACACACACCACTGATCGCATAAATAAAGCAAATTTAAAGTACTCCTCATCTGATCAAGAAGAAGGTGCTAGAACATGATGAGGCAGGGCAGGAATGATTTGGTGACAGGGTGACCATGTGGGAGAAAGGACACAGAGCTTAGGGTCTGATTTCCCCTAATTTGGAGGAATTGTGGATTGCATCTTTCAGCCCGAAGAGACCTGCAAACTGTAACAGGCGGTGTTGTTTGATACCATCGACCATGACCTGGGACTCCCGGGAACCAGATTTGGTTTCGTTGTGACCCAGCCACCTGATCCAGACGCCTTGAGCCTCTCTGTAAGTGCAGAAGATGCTTCTCGGCCAGTGTCTGCACAGCTGGGCAGCACGGTTCACAACCTGTGAATCATTCATGCTTTCGACCTATTCTAACGAGAACTTCACCCAAAAGCCTCAATTATTAAGTAGCAGGAGTCGGCTTTGCTGCTGCTAACTAGAAAAGCCACTAAAAAGCAAGGGATTTTTTTTTTTAACTGAGATGTTTTTTTTTTTCTTAGAGATGACACACAATTGCTCTCAACACAAAACACATGCTTGGGGGGGGGTGCGCACACTTTTAATCCCAGCACTTGGGATGCATAGGCAGGAGAATCTCTGAACTTTAGGCCAGCCAGGTCTATACAGTGAGTTCCAGAGGAGCCAGGGCTACACAGAGAAACCCTGTCCCGAAAAACCAAAACCAAGTCAAAAACTAAACCACCCCGCACCCCACGCACACAGAGGACAAAAGATACCCTGACAAATCAGACAAGGAGAACGCAAACATTGCCACCTGAACAAAGGCTTTTTAAGGCATGATGAATATATTTAATAGTGGCCACAATCGTGACCTCGAACTCTGAGCTAAACAACTTCTCTTGTGTGAGCAATATGCTAGGGTATCTTTTCATAGCAACGGGAAAAGAAACTAAGAAACATGTTGCTAGGAATGAGTTGGTTGTTATGGACTAACTTTGTCAAGCTGAATCAATGACATGTGTGTATGTGTGTGTGTGTTTGTGTGTGTGTATGCCTATGGAAGCTAGAGGCTGATGTTGGTGTCTGCCTCAATCACTTTTCCCCCTTGAGATGAGACAGGGTCCCACTTTGTATCTCCGGCTGGCCTGGAACTCACTGAGACCAATGTTCCTCTGCCTCCCAAATGCTGGGATTAAAGCCCTGCCCCACTCCACCCCACCTCAATCACTTTTCACTTTATAGTACTCTCACTTTGGAACTCACTGATTGGCCAATGAGCCCGGGATCTTCCTGTCCTACTTCCCTAGTGCTGGGATTACAAGAATGCATCTCTCTCTCTCTCTCTCTCCTTCTCCCTATGTATGCATGCATGAGTGTGTGCGCACACACGTGTGTGTGTGTGTGTGTGTGTGTGTGTGTATCCTTGTCTGTGCATGCAGAGGCCAGACAATTCAGAGGCCTCGGTGAACCCAAATTTTGCCTGTTTAGCTACATTGACTGGCCAGCAATCCCCCAGCCAGCATCCACCTGTCCCCATCCCTTCTCCCAGCACTGTTTCTATTTCTAGCAAACAGTTTGGGACAGCAAACAGGAACCTTTGTAACAGTCAGGCCCAAAAAGACAGGACTTGATGGTCACTGATAGTTTCCCTAACTTTTGCCACAATGAGCCTCATCTTTGCATAGCTTGGGTCCTGGATCCCCGACCAGAGGCGACTAGGGAATGAGGAAATGACAGACACATGGACACAGAAGAGCTGGGATTGCATGGTCCAGGCTTTTGGATGGAGAAGCCTCCGCACACCAGTAGTTAGTATGTTTATTATAAACTGTTGAATAGGGAGGGGTTATTACATAGAGATAAACAGGGAGGCGGGTTATTACATACAGATAAACAGGGAGGCGGGGTTATTACATACAGAGAAACAGGGAGGTGGGGTTATTACATACAGATAAACAGAGAGGCAGAGTTATTGTTTACAGCTGAACAAAGGCTCATCGGGTAGGGACCATCTCTGTAGGGGAGCAGTCTCTAGTCTATAAATATCCCAGGGGAGAAAGCACTGTGGGGCATTTTCCAGAGGAGAAAGGTCTGTCGGGCATCGTCTGCACACACTGTCAACATTTGCACTCAGAGCAGAGGAAGGCTCTGTCATCCCTAGCTTCACTGGGGAAAGACTCTGCCGTCCCTGAGCCTCACCTGGGGAAGGCTCTGCCATCCCTCGCCTCACCCAGGGAAGGCTCTGCCATCTCTGAGTCTCCTGAGGAAGGCTCTGCCATCCCTCGCCTCACCTGGGGAAGGCTCTGCCATCCCTGAGCCTCACCTGGGGAAGGCTCTGCCATCCCTGAGTCTCCCGGGGAAGGCTCTGCCACTCCCATGGGATGAGGCACCGAGGCACTGGTCCTTGCCATGGCTGTATCCGTGTCAGACAATGCACACTCATTTAGGATCACAGGTGTGCACCACAGTGTCCAGTCATTATCTTCATTTTCTGTCAGGAAATTTGCTGACCCCGGCAGCACACAGTGGTAGTCAGATGTTGAAGAGGCCAGCCTGGGCCACACCTTTAGCAGGGTTTGGTGGTACCAGCCCCTGTGCTAAGATTACAGGCAAAAATCCAAAAGGAGACCTGGAGAGATGGCTTAGTGGATAAGAGCACTGGTTTCTTTTGTAGAGGAACTGGGTTCTGTTCCCAGTACCCACATAGTGGTTCTTGACTGTCTATAACTTCAGTTCCTGGGAATTCAATGCTCTCTTCCGGGGCACCGTTACACATGCAGGCAAATGCCCTATGTACACAATAAAAATAAATAAATATATTAAGACAGACAAGTCCATTTGAATCCAGCATTTAAGAAGAAGGAAACTTTGAGGCGGGTTTGGTGGTGCAAGCCTGTAATTGCAGCTACTCAGAAGGCTGAGGCAGGAGGGCTTAAAGTTCAACAAAAATAGAACTTCGGAATGCAAGTTATTTAATTTTAGTGCACAGCGCACACAGCTGGCTCGAATGTCCTGTGTGCACACTTCAAAGAAGTGAGGGGGCTTGGGGAGATGGCTCGGGGGTGACGCCCTGGCTGCACAAGCGTGAGGACCCACCTATGAGGACAAGAACCTACATCAAAAGTTGGGTGTGGTGGCACACTTCTAAGCCCCGCCCCCCCACTGGGAAGGTGGGGTCACAAGGATTCCTGGGAGTTGTCTGGCTGTAAGTTCTAGGGCGCTAGGTTCACTGAGAGACTACCAAAAAATGAAGTGGAGGGCAATTGAGACAGATACTGGACATTGACCTCTGTCTGCACACACGTGTGTGCACACACAAACATCAAACATGCAAATACACGTGTATTTTCTCCTCCCCCTCAGACACACACACACAGAGTTAAGAAACTGAAGCCATGATCCGCGGGATGGCCATCCTTCCTGGGACAACACAGAAAATATCATTTCAAAAAGGAAAACTGTTGGGTCTGGAACGGGCCTCAGCTGGTGGAGCATTGCCTAGCAGGCAGGAGGCCCGGGATCCATCCTCAGCTTGGCACGATGGGATACACTAGAATCCCAGCCTCCGCTCTGGAGGTGGAGGCAAGAGGCTCAGAAGTTCGACGTTATTCTTAGGTGCGTGTGAGTGTGTGATCGGCCTGGAACAGATGACTGTGTCACACAACAAAAGTTAAAACGGGCACATTTTGTGTCATGTGTGGTTTCAGATCCAGCAGGGCAATGTCCAAATCAAGATGATGTTGGGTAAATTATGTGCTGGACAGTGGTGGCGCACACCTGTAATCCCAGCACACAGAGGTGGGTGGATCGCTGTGACAAGGCCAGCCTGGTCTGTTCCAGGACAGCCAGGGATACACAGAGAAATCCTGTCTGGAAAAACAAACAAAAAACAAACAAAAAAAAACAAAAGAAGAAAGAGAAGGGAGGGAGGGAGAGAGGGAGAGAGGGAGAGAGAGAGAGAGAATTATGTAACCAAGCCTTTGATGATACTGACTTTTGAGGTTTTCCACCTAGACTAATGTCAACCTCACACATCTGCACACATCACTGAAGACAGACATTCCCAAACAGCAGCTGCTAACATCTGGGGAGTCTTCAGTTCACAGAGTGCCCACCCCGGCAGGTCTCCAGTATCTTTTCCACACTTCACCAGCTAGCTTCGTTTGCAGAACAGAAACCTTAGTTAATGCTTGTTGAGTTTTTTTTTTTCTTTGAATTGGCTGTTCCTCCCCACCTTTCTATAAATAGAAAAGAGAGAGAGGGAGTGAGCACGGTTTCATTACTAAGGTAAAGACACTCGAGCCACACACATTTGATCCTTGAACATGAAATCTAAGAGGTTGTAACGATCACAGTTTCAATCCTATAAAAGGCAGAGGAGACCCATCGGGTTTGTTTGTCGCTTGTTCTACAACTCTTCCCCCCTTGACTTTAAATCTAAATTGGTGAGTAGCCGGTGGGCCTACCAGTCCCCGGGTCTCCTTCCCTACATGCGCTGTATTAGATGTGTAGATTTTCCACTCAGGAACTTGCCTGTCACACGGGAGGCCTGTCTGCGGCACGGGCTAGTCTTTCACGGGGGTCTGCAGTGTTGCAATTCTCTGGCTGATGTGTGACCAAGCTGTTGTGTTTATGACATGGTGAATTGTTTAAATGTCTCGTAACTGCTTATGCTGGCTGATGAGGTAAGCACAATCTTTACGAGAAGATTGGGCCTTAAGAAAATAACTTTTATTTGGTTTTAGATTCCTTAAAGCCTGGGCTGTGCAGCTCAGACTGGGTTGGAGATCATTACATAGCCAAGGATGCCCTTGAACTCTTGATCCTCCTGCCTCCTGAGTACTGGGGTCACAGGCGTGCACATCAAGCTCAGCTTGGTCTTTTGATTCCCCTCACACTTCAGTTTTGGAATGAATTCAGGAGAAACCATGGAGACAAGAGCGCCGGGGGTATTTTCTGTGTCTGGGTTTGGCTTGGTATTCTGTCCCATCACTTAACAGGTGCTCATCATATTTTAAGATTCTGAAAACACACAGTGTTGGGTGAGACACTGAGAATGTGCGTTCTTCCCCTGCCCGTCTCCCCGTCACCCCTGCTCACATCTCATTTGTTCTGTGTGGCCAGGTGGAACATGAGCATCACGGATGTGCTCAGTGCTGACGACATTGCAGCGGCCCTGCAGGAATGCCAAGGTGAAGGGGGACTGGAGGAGCAGGGCGTAGTGGCACTCTGGGGGCCAGAGCAGGAGAACAAGTTCAGTGGAGCCTGGACTACGAGTGACAGCTCGTCCCAGAATAAACACACTGGGCTAGGGTGCCCGCCTGGCGTGCACAGAGACCTGGGTTCCATCCCAGCATATACACCCGCCTTCCTCACACTAGGGAAATGGAGCAGGAGGATCAGGAGTTCGAGATCATTCCTGGCTACACAGCCTGGACTACATGAATCCTTGTCTCAAAAACAGTCAAACAAGCAAAAGCCATAATAGAGTTGAAGGGAGACATGAGGCAGGCATGGATTCCCACCTCCAGCGACGCAGCAAGGATTAAAATGTGACCTTTGCTGAGAGAGTTGCTGAATCCGTCAGGGGAACTGCTGCAGGTCAGACCACTAACAGGATAGGAATTTTGAGACCTGAGCATGTTTGAGACCATAGCATGGGCTATGTTTACATAAGAGGAAAGGTGTTTACAAAGGAGGGGGAGAAAAGTCAGCGGGGGACTGGATTGCAGCTCAGTGGTAGAGTGCTTGCTTCACAAGCACAAAGTCCTGAGTTCAATTTGCAGTACTGGAAAAAAAAAACCTCAGTAGAAAGGATGGGGTTATAGCTCAATACTAAGGGTCAGCCTGAGCTATATAGTGGGTTCCAGGCTAGCCACAAACAAACAAGAGTAAGTCAATGTATTTATTCTCTAGAACCTGTTTGAATCCACTGTTTTCCACTAACCACAGCCGTGGTACTGTGGACTTGTGTGCAGTTTGCTGGGTGAGGAGAGATAGGGGAAGGCACAGAGCAGTCAGGGGAGGTGGGCAAAACCAAGTGGAGAGGGCAACCTGGGGCAGGGGGACAAGGTGACATCACAGACCACCTAGTCTTGGCTCTCTGAGTTTAGGGAAAGTCAAGCATCCAGGTAGCTCGAGCTTTAATAGCCTATGCTTCTGCCTCCCAGGCACAAATACAGAATGGGAGCCACCTAGAGTCAGGATAACCTCTCTGTTCTTTAGACCCAGACACTTTCGAACCACAAAAGTTCTTCCAGACATCAGGCCTCTCTAAGATGTCTGCCAGCCAAGTGAAGGATGTCTTCCGGTTCATAGACAATGACCAGAGTGGATACTTGGACGAAGATGAGCTCAAGTAAGCTGGGTACTGAGTGATTCAACATGGCTGGATGGGGCTCGGGTGCAAGGTACCCCCTGTGTGCTCACCACTTCCTCCATGGCCAGCGCTGGCATTGGATATTTGTCTGCATTTCATAAAGAGTGTAAATTGGTCACGCTTTTACCCACATGGGGCACTAAATGTAGCGCTGGAGATGAGATACAAAGGGTGATTAGTTCAAGGGATTTCCTATGGCAAATGGAACTTAGCAAAGCTCTTAAAAATAGACAGCTGGCGTTGGTTTCTATGGCAAAGGAAAATACTCTGCCACCCTTGCTTTGTCTGATGTTTGTGGCTGTCAGACACAGGGACTCGAAGGAAGGAAGAGAGGGCAAAGGAAGGGGAAGGGGACAGGGAGGAAAGGGAGGAGGGGGAAGAGGGAGGGAGGGAGGAGCAGAGAGCACCAGTCTTTCAGGAACTCGCCACCAGCCTTTTGGGGGGGCGGGGGGTTCTGTAGGTTTTTCCTCCAGAAGTTCCAGAGTGACGCAAGAGAGCTGACTGAGTCAGAGACCAAGTCCTTGATGGCTGCAGCGGACAATGATGGAGATGGGAAGATTGGGGCCGACGGTAGGTCTGCGCCTGCGTGCAGTGTAAGACACTTCGGCAGAGGAGGTACCCAAGGGGGCTGCTGGGATAAACCCCTTTCCTGACTTCTGATGAATTCAGTCTTCTCGTCTGCAGAATGGGATTGAGCAAGCATGCCAACTGTTCATAAACTTGTGGTATCACTGGGGATATAGTTCCCGGGTTTGGCACGTGCTTAGCATGTCTGAATTTGGTCCCCAGCACTACCCTCCCCCCAGTGCCCAGATTCTGGGATAGGGATGCTGAGATGGCTCAGTGAAAAATGTCTCTTGCTGCCAAGTCTGGCGACCCGAATTCAATCCCTGGCACCTCCATGGTGGGAGGAGAGAACCAGCTTCCAAAAGTTGTCTTCTGACCTCCACATGTGCACACATAATTCTGGAAGGCAAGCACTGACATCAGTAATCCCAGCACTGTAGAGGCGGAGGTGGGAGGATTTCAGTGAGTTTGAAGCCAGCCTGGGCTACACAGGGAGCTCAAGGCCAGCCAGGGTTACAGAGTACGACTCTGTTTCAACACACACACACACACACACTTCTGTGTTACATGATATAAAACATAAACTATGAATTATAATAGTCACTTGAACTTAGAGAAAATGGTTCCCCTGATGAAGAGGCTAGCTGACCACTGGCCTTCCAAACTATTTTGCAAGGTGCGTTAGCCCAGCCTGAAAATAATGCAAGAGATGCCTGCCAGGGTTTAAACAAAGGCAGTTCACTGACTACCAGTGCATGTATTAAACAGAGGTGCAGTCAACAGTGTTAGCTGCACAAGGGCTAGGACCCGAGTTCAGATCCGCATCATCAGCCGTGTTGAAAGCTGGGCACCATGGCATGCACCTGTGATAACAGCTGCTGGTGAAGGGGAAGCACAGAGACAGGCAGATCCTGGGGGCCTACTCACCACCCAGCCCACCCAAATTAGTCAGCCTAGGTCTCTGTGAGAGACCCTGTCTCGAAAAATATGGGGGAAGAGCAACTGAGGGCAATGGTGATGTTAACTTCTGGCCTCTACATGTACACACATATGCATGGGCACTTCACACACACACACACACACACACACACACACACACACCACCACCACCACCACCACCACCATGACCACCACCACCACCACCACCAGCACCAGCACCAGCACCACCAGAAGCAATAAAGGACAAATAAGCCAACTACTATTCATGACATCACCTACATGCAGAGCCTAGATTCAAATGTCATAAGATTGTTTCTGCTTGATTTTATCAAGCTGCTTACATTGTTTAGGCGATGACTCAGAGGCAGGTCAGGGGCATCCTGGCTGAGGCACTTATTAGCTATTAGCGACACTGAAATTGCTGACGTACATTTGTCTGTCTGGGGCAGGGTCTCGTGTACAGCCCTAGCTGGCCTTGAACTTCATCTGTAGCTGGAGCTGACTTTGACTTCCTGATTCTCCTGCCACCACCTCCCTGGTTCTGTACTTCGGAGGCATATGTCACATGCCCGCCCTTGATCCTTATTGAAATATGTTATCATAATTCACCACACGAGTTCACGCAGCTTTTGTGGGTCCTCAATAAAACAGCTCAGACAAAGGAAGCTTGATGCATTTAGACAGCAGCAGGAAGCCCGGCTTGGTGGCACATTGCATAATAGCAGCGTTTGGCAAGCTGTAGAGTGTGAGGCTAGGCTAGATCCTGAATCCTGGGCTAGCCTTGATTAGGGAAGTAAGACCTTTTCTCAAATTTAAAATGCTAATTTCCAAAATGCCACAACCCTGAAAGATTCTGAGCAGTTTCACTTTCACTGTGCACCAGCCACAGTGTATTAGTGTCAGGGCTTGAGAGATGCCAGGTGGGTAAGAAGGCCTCCTGCACAGGCATGAGGACCTGAGATCAGATCTCAACGCCCATGTAGAAAGCTAGGCATGGCCACAAACAGACCTGTAACCCTAGTGCTGTCTGTAGTGGAAATAGGGGGACCACTGCAGCTTGCTGTCTTTGAGTTCACTTCAGGCTCAGTGAGAGACCTGCCTCAAGGGAAGTAGGTGGATAGAGATAGTGCAGGACACCTGCCACCCTCCTCTGGCCTCTGTGGGCTCACAGCTATACATACCACACAAGACACACACACATACATACACACAGACAGACACAGACACACACATATACACACAGACACAGACAGACACAGACACACAGACAGACACACATAGACACACACACAGACACACACACAGACACAGACACACACACATACACAGACACAGACAGACGTACACACACAGACACACACACACATACCCAGACACAGACAGACATACACACACAGACAAAGACAGACAGACAGACAGACAGACACACACACACACCATTATCTCTCACAGAAAAGATGATCAACTCATCTTCTACTAATATAAACTTTGGAGGAGGCTAAGCAGGGCTCAGTGGAGGAAAATCTGTTTAAAGTTCTAGTGTGTTGAATACTATGTCTACCTCCCGGGTTTATCTGAGATGAATGAGACAACACACCACATGTTTACAGTGAACAATTATACCAAATTCGTAAATGTAGTGATATTTCATTTGTATTTTAATAAATAAAGCTTGCCTAAGGATCAGAAAAGTAAAACAGCCACACTGGTCAGCCTTACAGACCAGGCAGTGGTGACACACATCCTTAGTCCCAGTAGCCACACTAGTTTGCCATAGAAACCAGGAGGTAGTGATGCATGCCTTTAATCCCAGCAGTAGAGAGAAATATAAGACAGGAGGAGACAGCTCTCTCACACACAGTCTCATTCTGAGATTCCTGGAGGCAGGATCGCCATTTCGGACTGAGGTCGAGGTAAAAGCCAGTGGCTGGCTGTTTTACTTTTCTGATCCTCAGGCAAGCTTTATTTATTAAAATACAAATGAAATGTCACTACACATTCCTTCATTGCTGGAGAAAGATGGGTGAGTTGAGCTCTAACCCCAGGGGCCATAGATGTAGCTTTATTTGTTAAATACAATTATGCACGGGGCTGGGGTGATGGGTCAGCAGACCTAAAGCATCCGCCATGCAAGTATAAGGACCAAAGTTCGGATTCCCAGGACCCATGTAAATGAGGCCTCACTTGAGAAGCGGGGACACAGAGATCCCTGGGTCCTTGGCAAGCTAGATTAGATGGATCAGTAAGTTCTGGGTTCACGCGAGAGGCCCTACCTCAATACATATGGTGGGAAGCAACTGAGGAATTGAGGAGGGCTCCTGAAGTCAGCCGTTGGCTTCCACCCATGTCTATACATGTGCACCCACACATGCACACATACACATCCCACACACTGGCACATATATGCGTACATGCACACATATAGACTATGCCGAGAAAACAGTGCATGTTGCTGCACAGGCTTGCAACCCCACACCTGCAATGTGGAAGCCGAGGAATAAGTAGATATGTGGTTCAAGATTATCCTTGGCTCTACCGAAAGCTTGAGCTCAGTAGTCTACATTAGACACTGTCTCAGAAAATTATGTGCAGCAAACTAGACACTCAGCAAGCACTGACAACATCAGCACTTCAGAGACTGAGGCAGGAGGCTAGTCAATTTAAGACCAGCTGGAGCTGCCCAGGGAGACGCTACCTAAAAAGGAACGCAGAAGGCGGGATGGGATGTTGCAGACTCCCATTCTTACCGGTGCTCACGGTGTCTTCCAGGCTTGTCCTGAATTGGACCGTGCTTCTCCGAGAATTTGTTTCCCTGCCAAACACTGAGTCTGTTCTCTCCTCTTCCTTTCTAGAATTCCAGGAAATGGTGCATTCTTAAAGCCCAAGTCTGTGGAGGAAAGAGTGGAAGGGGCATTCTGCCAGAAGGTCTCCAAAGCCCCGGGACCAGGGAGCTCCCCAACCTATCCTGAACTAATGTCCTGAGTCCCCCTCCCCCAAGCGCTTCTGCAATGTGCTCCTTGCTTGAGGAAATGCAATGGTCTGTGGCTCTTTATTCTTTGCTGGTGGTGGGTAGGCCCTGATGACTTCTGTAAGCTCCCCTGGCAGGCAATGCCTTTGAAAAAAATCACCCAATAAAATCAGTTCTCGTCATTGGCTGATGTGTGGGTGTATAGTCGCTTGTCTCTGTGCTGTGACAAAATGTCTGACAAACGCGACTCCAGGAAGGACGGACTTACTGTGGCTCGCAGTTGGAAGGGACAGTCCATCATGGTGGCTGGACAAGGAGGCAGCTGGTCACATCGCCTCTTTGGTCCGGAAGCAGGAAGGGATGAACGCCAGTGCCCACCTCACCTTCTCCTTTTCCTTTGGTCTGGGACCCCGGTCCAGGGGATGGGACCACCCACATTTATGGTGGATCTTCTCACTTTATTTAATTAACCTAACCTAGATAATTCCTCACAGATGTGTCCAGAGGTTTGTTTCCTTGGTGATTCTAGATCCTGTCAAGCTGAAAATACTAACCACGAGAGGTTTCTGTTTTGTTTTACTTTGTGATAGGATTTCAAAATGTAGCCCTGGCTGGCCTGGAGCTCCCTATGAGAGACCATGCTGGCCTTAATTTACAAAGACCCACCTGCCTCTACTTCCTCAGAGGTAAAAGGGATTAAAGATGTGCACCACCATATCCAGGTACAATGAGTGGTTTTGTTCTTGTTTTCCCTTTTTTTTCCTCCAGAAAGGTAGTGGGACAAAAGCAAGCAGGGACCAAGGGTTTTTCCAAAGATTTCAGGTGCCCTCAAACTCTGGATTGTACATTAGGGGACAGGCGAATTGGTTTTGTTTGTTTGTTTGTTTTTGTTTGTTTTGAGACTGTGTTTCTTAGCGTAGCCCTAGCAGTCCTGGAGCCAGCTCAGAGATCTGGCCTTGAACTCAGAGGTCCACCAGTCCGTGCTGGGATTAAAAGCACGCACCAACGCACAGCCCTGGAATTTGGTTTCAAAAACATAGAAGTGTTGCAAATAAATATTCCTGTCCTGCTGGGAATTTATTCTCAGCCATCCAGCTAACTCTGAAGTTAGTATTTTCCGGAGACATTTTAGCCAGCATAAAGCCACACTCTTACGGGAGCCAGACACAGTGGGGCGTCTGTAATCCCAGTGCTCAGGAGATGGAACCAGTAGGATCAGGAGTTCAAGACCAGCACTGGCTGTACATGGAGTTGGAGACCAGCTAGGGCCACATCTTTCCTCAGCCGGTAAAGACACTTGCTATCAAGCCTGATGACCCGAGTTCAATCTGCAGGACACACACGGTGCAAGGAGAAAGAAGACCCCTGAGAGTTCTCCTCTGACCTCTGCACAGGGCCCCTCCCCAGCAATAAATCAATGTTAATTTAAAAACCACTCTTACACTTTTGTTTTCTGCTGGCGGGTATAGGATTTATGGTGGTATAGTATTTGTGTTTTAATAAATAAAGCTTGCCTGAAGATCAGAATGCAAAACAGCCCCACTAGTCAGCCATACAGGCCGTGGTGGTAGTGCACCCCTTTAATCCCAGCACTAGAGAGGAATAGAAGATGAGAGGTCTCAGGCTCAGCCTGAGGATTCCTGGAGGCAGGATCGCCCATTTCGGTCTGAGGTAGAGGTAAGGGGCCCGTGGCTGGCTGCTTTGCTTTTCTGATCTTCAGCTTGAATCCCAATATCTGTCTCTGGGTTTTTATTATTGGTGCTACAGAGATTGCTATAAGAGAGATTTAAATACAAGCAAGCGAGAGAAGGCAGAACAGCTGGACTGGGGTATAAAGCTTAGTTAGAGTGCTTGCCGTTACAGCTCAACACAGCATTTGGATGGAAGTTGGCTTGGCTTTTTCCTCCCAGAGAAACAAGCGTTCAGATTGGTTTGTCCTAGCATGAACCCCTACCCCCTTCTCAGCCACTATTTTCCTGGCTCATAAGAGGCCACACCATAAGCCTCAAGGGCCCTGTTACAGGGTTGGGGAGTCTCAAGCCAGGAATTTCTCCTTAGGCTGCTTTCCAATAGGCACTTAAAGCTGTTCTCTGGGTGACTCTGAAAGCTGAGGACACCCGTGAGTGCCGGAGTATTTTCCTAGGGACTTGTCTAACTCATATTGTGTGTGTGTTGGGGGCTTGTATGCGGGGTGTGTGGTGTGTGTGTGTGTGGTGTGTGTGGTGTGTGTGTGGTGTGTGTATGGTGTGGTGTGTATGTGGCGTGTGTGTGGTATGTATGCATGTCTATGTGTGTGTGTGGTGTGTATGTGTGGCATATATGGGTGTGTGTGATGTATATGTGCGGGTGTGTGGTGTATGTGGGTGTGGTATGTGTATGTGTGTGTGATGTATATGTGCGGGTGTGTGGTGTATGTGTGTGTGGTGTGTGTAGCATGTATGTGTGTGGTATGTGTGTGATGTACATGTGTGGGTATGTGGGTGTGTGGTGTATGTGGGGGGTGTGGTATGTGTGTGGTGTTTGTGTGTGGGTGTATGTGGTGTGGGGGGGGGTTGTGGTGTGTGTGTGTGTGTATGTGGTGTGGGGGTGTATGTGGAGTGTTGTGTATATGTATGTGTGGTGTGTATATGTGTGGTGTATGTGTGGTGTGTGTGTGATGTATACGTGTGGGTGTGTGGTGTTTGTGTGTGGTGTGTGCATGGTGTATGAATGTATACATAAGAGTGCAATGCACATGTGTGTGTAAGCCAGGAATCAATGTCAGATATCTTACGCAATCTGCAATCTCTCTCCCCCTTATTTTCTGCACTTGGACTGGGCTGATAAGGTGAGGCTAACCAGCAAGCCCGCCTGTCCGTCTCTGGCTCCTCAGTGGTGAGATTATAGCACACAATGCTTTGCTCAATGTTTTGCTTGGGTGCTGGGGATCTGAACTCGGCTCCTCACTTTACCTATGGTGCCAACTTTCTGGCCCCAGCATCTCCTACTTTTAACCCAATGTCCACACTTAGCATCTTCTGGGCCCTCCTATGCTGCCTCCCACATGCTAAAAAGACATCTGGAGTATTTAAACCTCCTTCATCCCAGTACTGGGGAGGCGGAGACAGTGAGTCTCCTGAGTTTAAGGTCAGCCTGGTCTACAGAGAGAGTTCCAGGCAACCAGGGCCACACAGTTGAGACCAAATGCTCCAAAGCTATAACAAACCAAACCCAAATACTCTACATACATAATCTTCAAACTTGGCTTTAGGAACTTCATTTTACAGTCTTTATTGAGGAGAAGGAGCTATAAAAAAGAAAAAAGCAATGAGGGCCCAAGAAGATGGCTGATGGGATAAGAGCATCTGCTGTGCAGTTAGACCAGGAGAGTCCCCGGGAGCCTGTGGACCGTCTAGCCTGCTATGTGCATGAGCGAAACAACAGAGATCTGCCTCAGACAAGACGGATGGAAGAGCCCCTCTGACCGCCATACACTTACTGTGGCAGGAATCCACCCTCACTGACACACACAATTATGTACACACACACGCACACCACACAACCACCACACACACATACCTACACATCACACACACATATACACACCACACACACACACATTACACACTTGCATGTCCAGCATAAATTTCTGTTTCTGACATTTCTACTCAGTTTTGACTTACATACAGTTTTACATACTGAGGGAAAACTTTAATTATAACACCAGGGCCAAATCAAAACAGGAAAACTAACAAAGTCTATTCGGTCCAGAAAGGGCTAACCAAGCGAACAGACAGTTTATTTTCATACTTGCCTTTGCTATTTTTACCTAATCTGCAGATGACCAACAAAATATGCTCTCAGCAGAGTTGAGTATTTTGACTTTAAAATGAAGGTCAAGATTGCAATATGTTTTTCCAGAGCTGAAAAACTAAGTGTCTTGTTATTTTTTTCTTCTTGTTTATAAAATAAGGCTGCAACAGTGGCTTTAATTTGGACTATTTTTTTTTAAAATCTAACTACAATCTTGGCTTGTATCACGATGAGGTAGTTTGGGATTTACTGGGTGTGACATCAAAGCCAGCTTTGTGAATGGCTTAACAGAATTACTGAGCCTGGTGGTGCACAGGCGATCCCAGAATTTGGAAGGTGAAAATAGAAAGATCAGGAATGCAAGGCCATTCTTGACTACTTCGTGACTCCGAGGCCAGGCTGGGCTATTCGAGACCCTGCTTTGAGCATTGAAAGGAACAACACCTTCTTTTTGGAAACAGGGTCTCACGGTGTAGCCTAGGCTAGCCTACAGTTTCTACATCTAAATGCAAGATTATTGGCCTGTGCCATCAAGCTTAGCTAACCTATAGATTTTCAAGTTAGTTCTTTCTGCATGAAAATGAAGCAAAGATGGGACATACTTGTCGATTTGCTTATATAGTTCTGTGTAGCAACTACAGTTTAATGTTGTGTGAATGAGTGCTCATGAATCCAATTTCAAGCAAAAACCTATCCCGTATCACTTCTGCAACTGTTAGGGTATGGGGTTACTTCACAAACACTTAAGAAGACGGATGAAATCGGAATCGACAGGATAGTTTCCACTTAGCCTGTTCATTTATTCACCAAGAAGACTATAGATTTACATGTTTTTACTTGTTCCAAAAAAAAAAAAACCAGCTTTATTTTGTCGGTGGTAGGGTAGACTTTTAAAAAAGGATATATTTATTTTATTTTTTTTAAGATTTGTTTATTTATTATGTATACAACATTCCTTCCATGTATGCTTGCAGGCCAGAAGAGGGCACCAGATCTCATTATAGATGGTTGTGAGCCACCATGTGGTTGCTGGGAATTGAACTCAGGACCTCTGGAAGAGCAGTCAGTGCTCTTAACCTCTGAGCCATCTCTCCAGCCCTATTTATTTTATATGTATATGTGTGCCACACTGGTACCCACGAGGCCAGAAGAAGGCATCAGATCCGCTGGAGCTGGAGTTACAGGCAGTTAGGAGCTGCCCGGGGGGATGCTTGGAACAGAACCCAGGTCCTCTAAAAGTAGCAGGTGCTCTAACTGTTGAGCCTTCTCTCCAGATCCATGGTGAGGTGGATTTTGACATTTTTGCCTTTGTTTATAGTCCACTGCGTACACCTAATGTTGTTGGACCCTAGCATCCAATCACCAAGGAGGAGTCGCCCCAAGAGACCATTTCTCATATCACAGCTGATGTAAAAGCATGAGGATTCTATTAATTCTGTCATGAATGGGAAAAAACACAGAAGGAAGGGATGTCTGGGGGTTGTTCTTTAACTATTATGACTGGCTTATTCAAAAGGGCTCTTACCAATAATTGGCTGGAGAGTGGTTGCCAGATCAGATCAGGTAAAGGGAAACTTCTGAGGGTCACTTTGCCCCTTCCCAGGGACTAAGTCAAAACATCAGTAACTGAGTCAACACCTAAGGGTTATCATGCCCCTATTCAGGGAGATGGAAAGTTACCAACATCTCAGTCCGTGCACGGGCATAGCTGCTTTGTCCTTGGTTCCCAGGGGAGGAGGGGAAGTACTGAGAGTTGTCAGAAATGGCTTCAGAATTGTCTTAAAGTTCTACAATGTAAGTAGAGGTTCTATATATTTGAGGATGACCTTGAACTTCTGATCCCACCTCCACCTCACCAGTCCTGGAATTACGGGCATGCACTACCACACCCAGTGTAGGTGTTTAAGGGGAGAAGTGACTTCAACAAGTTGTTCTCCTTGTAGTAAAAATAGATGTCAAAAATAAATAAATAAATAAGTAAAATAAAATAACAGATGTAATTGGGTCAAGCTTTAAGACACATGCATGTGTCCCGCTAAACCTTTCTTCACACTTTGAAAATACCATATCCGTGGCGTACGCCTTTTAATGCCAGCACTCAAGAGGCAGAGGCAGGAGGAACTCCGTGAGTTCGAGGCCAGCCTGGTCTACATAGTGAGTTCCAGGTCAGTCATGGCTACATAGTGAAACCCTGTTAGAAAAACAACCAAACAAAACTATCCAAACCATTCATTGTTGCATTTCTCTTGAAATTCATGGTCTTCGCCTTTTTTATATGAGAGCTATCCACGAGCCAATAAAATAAAACACACCACAGCCCATGAAATACGCGGGAAGCGGGTCTACCCGGACGTACCAGAGAAGGACCGGGCGCTGCAGGTTCTCCTTCTGGGTCAGTAGCGACCTCTTCCGGGCCGACGGCTAGGGAGGCGGAAGTGCGGCGTTCCCTGAGGCTGCTGTCTCTGAGCGGGCGGAGGGGAGGCTCCCGAAGTGGGGGCCGGGCGGGGATGGCTGCGGCGGCGGCCGGGACGGGGACTTGGGCGGCCCAGGAAAAGCAGTTCCCGCCGGCGCTGTTGAGCTTCTTCATCTACAACCCTCGCTTCGGGCCGCGCGAGGGAGAGGTACGCTGACGGGGCTGCGGGGCGCGAGGAGGGGCCGGAGCACCGGCGGCCGCTGTCAGTGCTCGGGAGCTGCAGGGCGCGGCCCGGACGCGGCTTCTCCTGGTCGCCTCGGTCCAGACCGAGACTGCTCCGTCGCCTGCTGTGGCTCCGGGTGGGATGTGCCGGGCACTTGACATCGCGGGCCGGTCCTGTCAGTGAGGGTCCGTCAGGTTAATCCTTCCGCCCGGCTTGACTGTCTTTCCCTTTGACTCAACTCTGGGCAATCAAAATTGAACTTGTCTTCTCTTGAAAGTCTTCGATTGCAAAGGTGGAACCAGATGGGTGGATGGTGGCTCCCAAAGTGGGGGTGGAGGGACGGACAAAAACACACAAAAACAAAAACGAATCCAAACCAACTAAACAAACTTGGAGGAGCCTCAGAAAGTTAATCCCCCTGCCCCCCAAAAATCAGTTGTTTGCTCCGAGTTAAGGGTGGTGACTTCCTCAAAGGATGTCCTGAGCTGTGTTTTCTTGCAAATAAATCACAGTCCTATTTAGAGGGTTTCAGTCCCAGTGTTCTTGAACCGACTTGGTTTAATTTGCCAATCTGTATTCCTGCGCACGTGCATGCACGCATCTTCCTCGAGAGGCTTGGTGGCTCGCGGAAAGAAAGCCGGGATTTTCATTAACCTCTTCTTGTACTACTTATGAAATGTGACTGGTGAATACCACAGTTGTGAGACTGGGGGATGACCGTATTTACAAAACCACGATAAAGGAATTCTGGGTTTTCTAAAGTCATTTTTAGGTTTTGTCTTTAGCCTCAATGATGGGAAAAGTGGATGTTAAACTCGGCACTTTAAGAGTTAAGATGAATAAATGCTGACATTAATGCTGTGTTCTGTTTTTTCCTGTTTTAGGAAGAAAATAAAATTTTGTTTTATCATCCAAATGAAGTAGAAAAGAATGAAAAAATTAGAAATGTTGGATTATGTGAAGCAATTGTACAGTTTACGAGGTACTACTTTACATATTTGTTTGTTGTTTGTAGAGATTGGTGAATTCTTTCGACTTACTCTAGCTGTTCCAACCATGTTTTGAAAACTTTTTTCCCTAGGACTTTCAGCCCATCGAAACCTGCAAAATCTTTACACACACAGAAGAATAGACAGTTCTTCAATGAACCAGAAGAAAATTTCTGGATGGTCATGGTATTTACATATCCAGTAATAGTGAAATTCTGGGGATTTGTATCCCTAGGAATCACAGGAAAATTGGTTGCAATTTAAAAATCAGTATTTCTTTTCTGATTCTGACTGTTTAATCCCAGCACTCGGGAGACAGAGGCCCACAGAACTCTGAGTTGGAGGCCAACCTGGTCTAGAGTGAGTTTAAGGACAGGCAGGGTTACACAGAGAAACCCTGTCTCTAATAGTAATATAATAATAATAATAATAATAATAATAATAATAATAATGAGAAACTTTCTGTCTACAGATGGCTCTCTTTAGTAGGTACTTGCCTAGCGGGCATAGGTTCCTGCAGGGCTCTGAAATAGACACCACCAACAAACAGAAGTAATTTTGTGTCTAGTGGTCTAACATATTCAATAATTTTTGTGTATTTGTAGAGTGGTGGTGGGCATATGTGTGTTTATTCATTTTTTGTGGGGGAAGGGTGAGACAGGGTTTCTCTTTTTAACAGTCCTGGCTGTCCTGGAACTCTTATAGATCAGGCTGACCTTGAACTCACAGAAAGCTGCCTGCCTCTGCCTCCAACTGCTGGGATTAAAGGTGTGTGCCACTGCTTCCCCGTGAGCCTGTGTGTACTACATTTATTAATCTTGGATGCTATTCCTTGGGAGTCCACCTGCTTTTCTGAGCAAGGTCTCTTACAAAGCTTGGAGGCTTGCCAACTATGCTAATCTAGCTGGCTGGCAGGCTCCAGGAATCCAGCTGTCTCTGCCTCCCTAATGCTAGGATTGTGCCACCATATCCCACTCCTTAACAATGTATTCATTTGTTTATTTATTTAGAGGCAGGATCTAGCTGTGTAGCCCTGGCTGGCTTGAAACTTTTTTTGTAGACCAGGCTGGCCTCTAACTCATAGAGATCCACCTGCCTCTGCCTCTTGAGTGCTAAGAATGCCCTGCTTTTCCATGGGTGCTGGGGATCAAACTCAAGCTTTGTGCCATTCTTCCCGGCTCTCACAATTATTTTCTTTATCTGAATGTTTTTATTATACTTACTTATTTACTTTTTCAGGGGAGATGTGCCCTAGCACATGTGTTAGAAGGCAACTTGAGAGGGTTTGCTCTCTCTTTCCCCAGCCTTGTAGACGAGTGCCTTTAACTGCTGAGCCACCTTGCTGGCCCTTGGTTGTCTATATTCCATTGCTGGAGCTGGACCCCAAGGATATGCTGGGCAAACATTCTACCACTGAGCTACTGCCCAGCCCCAGATTTTTAAAATTAAGAGGAGGTTTAAGGCATACAATTGTATCATTATATAATTTCTGCTTATCAAACTTCATAGGTTGTTCGGAATCCTATCATCGAGAAGCAGAGTAAAGATGGCAAGCCCGTTGTGGAGTACCAAGAGGAGGAGCTGTTGGTAATGTGCAGTCTCTGTCCCCGTGCCTTTAGGAGGGTTATTCCCAGATGTGTCAAGTGACTTCCTTTAAACTCTGTAGCTTCTTTTTTTTATTTTTTTATTTTTTTTTTTTTTGGTTTTTCGAGACAGGGTTTCTCTGTGGCTTTGGAGCCTGTCCTGGAACTAGCTCTGTAGACCAGGCTGGTCTCGAACTCACAGAGATCCACCTGCCTCTGCCTCCCGAGTGCTGGGATTAAAAGCGTGTGCCACCATCGCCCTGCAACTCTGTAGCTTCTAAGAGCCTTCTTGGGGGTCATAGGAAAGTTTTATGTTTATTGCTTACTTTAACATAATCTTCTAAAAATACTTAAGTCCCCTATCTTCTTAATCCCTTCCACTGGTCATCTGTGTGTGAAGCCCTTCAAACAGCGGCTTTTTGGTTTGTGAACTTGCACTTGAATGCCTGTTATTTCAGCATACAACTACCGTAGAACCAAGTTCTAATAATCATGTGATTTGCCAAGAGTTGTTCTGTTGCTGTGCCTGGATCCAGTGAGATGCTGTTTTCTTGTTTGTAGGACAAGGTGTACAGTTCAGTGCTACGGCAGTGCTACGGCATGTACAAGGTAGGTGTGGCTTCCACATCTGCACTGCCCTCTGGGAAAGAACAAATAAATATACTGTTCTAAAATAATTCTTTATTTTAGTGTTTTGAAATGAAAATATCACAATATTTTCTCCTTTCCTTTCCTCCCTCCAGCCCCTTCCACATAACCCCCACTCCATTCGCTCATGGTCTCTTTCTCGTAATCATATGTTTGTATGTTTGTATATATATGTACTACATACATATATAACCTGAATACACACACACATAAAACCTGCTCAGTCCATGTAATGTTACTTGTATGTATATGTTTCAGAGCCGACCACCTGGCTATCGGATGACCCTTTGGTGGGGAAGACTGTTTCTCCTGCTCTCAGCATTCCTCAGTTGTTAGTTTTTTTTTTTTTAATATTTATTTATTATGTATACAATACCCTGTCAGTGTATATGCCTGCAGGCCAGAAGAGGGCACCAGACCCCATTACAGATGGTCATGAGCCACCATGTGGTTGCTGGGAATTGAACTCAGGACCTTTGGAAGAGCAGGCAATGCTCTTAACCCCTGAGCCATCTCTCCAGCCCCAGTTGTTAGCTTTTAATCTAGGTTAAGTCCCTTCCATACAGTTTCTCCCTTCTGTGTTAGGATGGCTCTTGGTGTCATCCTTGTTCAGGTCTTGTTTGGGCAGCCACGCTGATGAGATTTCACGGGTGTAGCTTCTCTGACATTTCTAGGAGATGCAACCTCACACAGTCTTCCTGGCCCTCTGGCTCCTGCAGCATTTCTGCTTCCTGTTCTTCTGTGGTCTCTGAGCCTTAGGTGCAGGATTGTGTTGTAGTTGTTCACTTGGATCTGGGCGCCACACGATCGCTTCTTTTCTGCATTTTGATCAGTTGTGGTTTTCTGTAGTGGTCTCTGTTGCGAGGAGACGTTTCTTTGACAAGGGGGAGATCTGTACTCATCTGGCTAGACACTGGCGAAGGACATGCAGGATCTGACTGGGCCGGCATTCTCTTTCAAATCAGGGTCTGTCCACCCTGATTTGTTGAAGTGTTGAAGATAAACTTGGGAAGTGTTTACAAACAGTGTTGTTGTACTTTGCTTGCTGAGTCAAGTTTTCTCTCCATAGTCCAGACCAACCTCAAACTCACAGTCATCTTGCCTCAGCATTCTGAGTGCCGGGATTACCGGTACATGCTGCTATGTCTGGCTCTAAAAATAGTTGCTTTTTTGGAGTACTGAGGATTGAACTCAGGCAAATGCATGCTACCATTTAGCTACATTCCCATCTTTAAAAATGTTTGATTGTTTCTATTGTAGTTTTTAATTTATTTATGGGGTCAGAGAGATTGAGTAGTGCAGGTCATTGACTTTATTTTCCACACTGTTTTCCACCATTAGCTTTTTAATGGGACGTTTCAGAAAGCCATGGAAGATGGAGGTGTCAAGCTTCTAAAAGAAAGATTAGAGAAGTTTTTCCATCGGGTAAGTGTTCTGAATTTTGTTTATAACTTTAATAATATTCAGACAAGTTCTGAGAGACATAAGTGCAGCTGGTATGTGAGTCAGTGGCTGAGCACTTAGCTGGTCTGGATAAGAACCTTGGCTGATCCCCAACACCAGGGGGCTTATGGAGCAATATAGAGGCAGACACATTTGTTTTTTAATTTATTTTTAAAGATATATATAGTGCATTA